CCTTGTTCTTGCGATTTTGCTCACGTTAGGCCCCTGTTCTTGCCATTTTGCACATACTAGGCCCTTGTTCTTGCAATTTTGTACACGCTATGCCCTTGTTCTTTTTATTTTGCACACACTACGCCCTTGTTCTTGCAATTTTGCACATGCTAGACCCTTGTTCTTTTTATTTTGCACACGCTAGGCCCTTGTTCTTGCTATTTCGCGAACTGCTAGGCCCTTGTTCTTGATTTTTTGCACACACTAGGCCCTTGCTCTTGCTATTTTGCACACGCTAGGCCCATGTTCTTGAAATTTTGCACACGCTAGACCCTTGTTCTTGCAATTTTGCACACACTAGGCCCTTGTTCTTTTTATTTTGCACACGCTTGGCCCTTGTTCTTTCTATTTGCCACACACTATGCCCTTGTTCTTTTTATTTTGCACACGCTAGGCCCTTGTTCTTGCAATTTTGCACTCGCTAGACCCTTGTTCTTGCAATTTTGCTCACGTTAGGCCCTTGTTCTTGCCATTTTGCACATACTAGGCCCTTGTTCTTGCAATTTTGCACACGCTATGCCCTTGTTCTTTTTATTTTGCACACGCTAGGCCCTTGTTCTTGCAATTTCGCACATGCTAGATCCCTGTTCTTTTTATTTTGCACACGCTAGGCCCTTTTTCTTGCTATTTTGCGAACGCTAGGCCCTTGCTCTTGCTATTTTGCACTCGCTAGGCCCTTGTTCTTGCAATTTTGCACACGCTAGGCCCTTGTTCTTGCTATTTTGCACACGCTAGGCCCTTGTTCTTTTTATTTTGCATACGCTAGGCCCTTGTTCTTTTTATTTTGCACACGCTATGCCCTTGTTCTTTGTATTTTGCACACCCTAGGCCCTTGTTCTTGCAATTTTGCACATGCTAGACTCTTGTTCTTATTATTTTGTACATGCTAGGCCCTTGTTCTTGCTATTTCGCAAACGCTAGGCCCTTGTTCTTGGTTTTTTGCACACGCTAGGCCCTTGCTCTTGCTATTTTGCACTCGCTAGGCCCTTGTTCTTGCAATTTTGCACACGCTAGGCCCTTGTTCTTGCAATTTTGCACACGCCAGGCCCTTGTTATTGCAATTTTGCACACGCTAGGCCCTTGTTCTTTTTATTTTGCACATGCTAGGCCCTTGTTCTTGCTATTTTGCACACGCTATGCCCTTGTTCTTTTTATTTTGCACACGCTAGGCCCTTGTTCTCGCAATTTTGCACATGCTAGACCCTTGTTCTTTATATTTTGCACACGCTAGGCCCTTGTTCTTGCTATTTCACGAACGCTATGCCCTTGTTCTTGATTTTTTGCACACGCTAGGCCCTTGCTCTTGCAATTTTGCACTCGCTAGGCCCTTGTTCTTGCAATTTTGCACACGCTAGGCCCTTGTTCTTGCAATTTTGCACATGCTAGACCCTTGTTCTTTTTATTTTGCACACGCTAGGCCCTTGCTCTTGCTATTTCGCAAAGGCTAGGCCCTTGTTCTTGATTTTTTGCACACGCTAGGCACTTGCTCTTGCTATTTTTGCACTCGCTAGGCCCTTGTTCTTGCAATTTTGCACACGCTAGGCCCTTGTTCTTGCAATTTTGCACACGCTAGGCCCTTGTTCTTTCTATTTTTCACACGCTAGGCCCTTGTTCTTTTTATTTTGCACACGCTAGGCCCTTGTTCTTGCTATTTGGCGAACGCTAGGCCCTTGATCTTGATTTTTTGCACACACAAGGCCCTTGCTCTTGCTATTTTGCACACGCTAGGCCCATGTTCTTGCAATTTTGCACACGCTAGACCCTTGTTCTTGCAAATTTGCACACGCTAGGTCCTTGTTCTTTTTATTTTGCACACACTAGGCCCTTGTTCATGCTATTTTGCACACGCTATGCCCTTGTTCTTTTTTTTTTGCACACGCTAGGCCCTTGTTCTTGCAATTTTGCACTCGCTAGACACTTGTTCTTGCGATTTTGCTCACGTTAGGCCCTTGTTCTTGCCATTTTGCACATACTAGGCCCTTGTTCTTGCAATTTTGGACACGCTATGCCCTTGTTCTTTTTATTTTGCACACGCTACGCCCTTGTTCTTGCAATTTTGCACATGCTAGACCCTTGTTCTTTTTATTTTGCACACGCTAGGCCCTTGTTCTTGCTATTTCGCGAACGCAAGGCCCTTGTTCTTGATTTTTTGCACACGCTAGGCCCTTGCTCTTGCTATTTTGCACTCGCGAGGCCCATGTTCTTGCAATTTTGCACACGCTAGACCCTTGTTCTTGCAATTTTGCACACGCTAGGCCCTTGTTCTTTTTATTTTGCACTTGCTAGGCCCTTGTTCTTGCTATTTTGCACACGCTATGCCCTTGTTCTTTTTATTTTGCACACGCTAGGCCCTCGTTCTTGCAATTTTGCACTCGCTAGACCCTTATTCTTGCGATTTTGCTCACGTCAGGCCCTTGTTCTTGCAATTTTGCACATACTAGGCCCTTGTTCTTGCAATTTAGCACACGCTATGCCCTTGTTCTTTTTATTTTGCACACGCTACGCCCTTGTTCTTGCAATTTTGCACATGCTAGACCCTTGTTCTTTTTATTTTGCACACGCTAGGCCCTTGTTCTTGCTATTTCGCGAACGCTAGGCCCTTGTTCTTGATTTTTTGCACACACTAGGCCCTTGCTCTTGCTATTTTGCACACACTAGGCCCATGTTCTTGCAATTTTGCACACGCTAGACCCTTGTTCTTGCAATTTTGCACACGCTAGGCCCTTGTTCTTTTTATGTTGCACACGCTAGGCCCTTGTTCTTTTTATTTTGCACACGCTAGGCCATTGTTCTTGCAATTTTGCACTCGCTAGACCCTTGTTCTTGCAATTTTGCTCATGTTAGGCCCTTGTTCTTGCCATTTTGCACATACTAGGCCCTTGTTCTTGCAATTTTGCACACGCTAGGCCCTTGTTCTTGCTATTTTGCACACGCTATGCCCTTGTTCTTTTTATTTTGCACACGCTAGGCCATTGTTCTTGCAATTTTGCACTCGCTAGACCCTTGTTCTTGCAATTTTGCTCATGTTACGCCCTTGTTCTTGCCATTTTGCACATACTAGGCCCTTGTTCTTGCAATTTTGCACATGCTATGCCCTTGTTCTTTTTATTTTGCACACGCTACGCCCTTGTTCTTGCAATTTTGCACATGCTAGACCCTTGTTCTTTTTATTTTGCACACGCTAGGCCCTGTCCGAACTTATAGCTTACTTGTTTCTGTAGGCTATAGTGGGGTATCCCATAGGGGGTACAACCCAATTAGGGTTTCCTATTTGTACTCACTTCATTCATAGTCATTCCATTCTCGTTCTTTGTTTCCACATGGAATCAGAGCAGGTTCCCTCCTAGGGACTGCTTCTAGGGCCCACCGAACCGCGCCCCGAGGCGCGTTTTTTTTTAGCGACCCGTCGTGTCGCCCCTAGCGGACCGTTGCGCCGCCCTTCCCCTCGCGGCTCCGCCGCCCTTCCCTAGCGGCCCCGCCGCCCTTCGATCGCGGCCCCGCCGCCCTCTGCTACGCGGCCCCCGCCGCCGCCCTTCGATCGCGGCCCCGCCGCCCTCGGCTACGCGGGCCCCGCCGCCCTCTGCCTCGCGGCCCCGCCGCCCTCTGCTATGCGGCCCCGCCGCCCCTCTGCTACGCGGCCCGCCGCCCTCTGCTACGCGGCCCCCGCCGCCCTTCGATCGCGGCCCCGCCGCCCCTTTACCCACGCGGCCCCGCCGCCCCTGCTACGCGGCCCCGCCGCCCTCTGCTACGCCGGCCCCGCCGCCCTTCGATCGCGGGCCCCGCCGCCCTCTGCTACGCGGCCCGCCGCCCTCTGCTACGCGGCCCCGCCCGCCCCCTGCTACGCGGCCCCGCCGCTCTCTTCGGTCGCGGGCCCCGCCGCCCTCTGCTACGCGGCCCCGCCGCCCTCTCGCTACGCGGCCCCTCCGCACTCTGCTACGCGGCCCCGCCGATCCGCCCAGCAGCAGCCGCCGCCGCCTGCTGAAGCCGCCGGCCGAGCGCCGCGAGCGTCGCCGAGCCGCCGCCGAGCCGCGCGAGCCGCCGCCGAGCCGCCGCCCGAGCCGCCGCCGAGCCGCCCGAGCCGCCGCCGAGCCGCCCGTGACGCCCGAGCCGCCCGCGCCGCCCAGCAGCAGCCGAGCCGCCGCCGAGCCGCCGCCGCCTGAGCCGCCGCCGAGCCGCCGCCGAGCCGCCGCCCGAGCCGCCTGCCGAGCCGCCCGTGCCGCCCGAGCCGCCCGCGCCGCCCGAGCCGCCTGCGGAGCCGTGCTGCTGTTCCTCTGCTGCTGACCTACCCGCCTCTCCCAGCCCGGTGAGATTTTCAGCTGCTGTCATGGCCACCCCCAATGTTCTTACCTTTGACGCTGAGGGGAGGGCCATTGACTTTGCCGTCTGGATTGAAGACCTGCAGCTGTACTTACTGTGTGATGCGATAGATGAGGTCTCTCTCTTTGACTTTGTCTCTGGCGCTGTCCCTGCCCCACCTGCTGATGCTGACTCTGCCGTTCGCTCCAAGTGGGCGACCCGCGATGCTGCTGCACGTCTTGCTGTGCGTCGCCACCTCCCTTCCTCTGAGCGTGCCCACTTTAGTCAGTGCAAGACCGCTCAGGCCTTGTACGACGCTGTAGTTGCACGCTACTCCTCCCCTTCCTCCGCTACCCTTAGCCGCCTCATGCTACCGTTTCTCTTCCCTGACCTCGCTTCCTTTCCCACTGTCGCTGACCTCGTTACCCACCTCCGTGCTAGTGACACCCGCTACCGCGCTGCCCTTCCTGCTGAGTTCCGCGCTGCGAACCCTCCTCCCATGTACATCACTCTCTACTTTCTCGTCACCCGTCTCCCTGAGTCCCTTCGTGTCGTTAGGGACCAGTTTCTCTCTGTCTGTCCCACCACTCTCACTGTCGACCTCCTTGAGGAGTCCCTGCTAGCGGCTGAGAAGAGTATTGTCGCTGTAGGGGCCTCTCGGGGTGACCCTCGCACCCCCATCTTTGAGGGGTGTGGTCCTTCCCCCCTGCTGCCCTCTGTCGCCTCTGCCGCTGCGGCCGACCTCACTGGTTTTGAGTCGGTCGGCGCGGCGTCTGCCCCCAGCGGCAGACGCCGCGCTGGCAAGGGCAAGGGGGGCAAGGGAGCGGGTGGAGCTAGAGGGGGCGGTGGAGGAGGCGGTGGGGGTGGCGGGGGGAGTGGGGGTGGCGGTGGGGGTGGTGGCGGGAGTGGAGGTACTGGTGGCGGCGGTGGAGGCGGAGGTGGCGGCGGAGGTGGTAGCGGAGGAGGCGGTGGGAGCGGTGGGAGCGACGGTCCTGGTGGGGGAGGTGGAGGTGGAGACGGGGGTGGCGGTGGAGGCGGGGGTGGCAGTGGAGGCGGGGGTCGGAGTGGCTCGTCCCAGCGGAGCAGCTCCGGGGGTGGTCAGCGCCAGCAGCAGCAGCAGCAGCAGCAGCCGCAGCAGCAGCCACAGCAGCAGCAGCGCTCTCGCACCGTCCCCGCCCCTCAGCAGCTCCGTGAGTGGTACTCGCAGCGTCAGCGTGGTGGTGCGCTTGGTCCTTGCCCCTACGTTCTCCGCACCGGTGACCGTGCAGGGGAGAGGTGTGGAGGCGCCCACACTGCCCGCCGCTGCTTTGGCCGCCTGACTGACGCCTGGCGTCAGCAGTTTCCGGAGGCAGCTGAGATCCCCCGCTGGGGAGAGCTGTCTAGGGCTGGTGTAGCTATTTATGATCTTGATTTTGATGCTATTCTCTCTGCTATGTATGCTGCGATTGGTAGTGATGAGGATGACTGTTACCGGTGTTTCCCGCCCGACCCGGGCATTGGTACTGCCGCGTCAGGTACTAGTGAGGCTGCTGCTCTAGGTGCCAGTGCGTCTGTGCTCTCAGGTGCTGGTGAGTCTGCCCTCTCAGGTACTGTGTCGGCTTCGGCCTCTCACACCTTCACCCTTGACTCTGGAGCGTCTCGCTCCTTCTTTCGGGACCGCACCACTCTCACGCCGCTGAGTCGGCCGGTTGCGGTGTCCCTGGCTGACCCCTCTGGGGGGCCTGTCCTGTCTCGCTTCTCCACTGTCCTCCCGTGTCCGGCGGCCCCCTCTGGCACCCTGACTGGTCTCTACCTCCCCTCGTTCTCGACGAACTTGGTGAGTGGTGCTGACCTCCAGGATGCGGGTGTCCACCAGTTCACCCCTGCTCGTCAGCGGGTGACCCACTGCACGGAGGCGGATACAGGTCGCCACCTGGCTACGTTTACACGTCGGCCAGGGTCGAGCCTGTACACTCTGACCACTGCTTCTCCTCCAGGTGCTGAGTCTGGTAGGGTCACTTCGTCTGGTCAGGTGTTTGCTGCAGCGTCCAGGTCTGGTCCTGAGTCTGCCCCCTGCTCGTGCCGTCGTCTGTCTCACGAGACCCTCCTCTGGCACCACCGCCTTGGCCACCCCTCTCTAGCTTCGGCTCAGAGGCATGGCCTCGCGAGTCCTTGTGTCTGGTCTTCCCCGGTCTCTCCCTCCCCTTCCTCCGGGCCCTGGCCCCACCTGTGTCCCCTGTGTCGAGGGGCGCCAGCGTGCTGCCCCTCACTCCTCCCAGTTTCCTCCGACAGAGGCCCCGTTGCAGACGCTTCACATGGATGTGTGGGGCCCAGCCCGCGTCCGTGGACAGGGTCAGGAGCGCTACTTCCTGCTGGTGGTTGACGACTACTCGCGTTACACCACAGTCTTCCCCTTGCGCAGCAAGGGTGAGGTCACTGCGGTGTTGATCGACTGGATCCGCGCAGCTCGTCTCCAGCTTCGGAGGAGCTTTGGCTCTGACTTCCCTGTTTTGCGTCTGCACTCGGACAGAGGCGGAGAGTTCTCCTCTGGCCTCCTGAGTGCCTACTGTCGTGCGCGAGGCATCCGTCAGACCTTCACGCTTCCGGACTCACCGCAGCAGAATGGGATTGCTGAGCGCCGCATTGGCATGGTCATGGACGTCGCTCGTACGTCCATGATGCATGCGGCTGCTCCCCATTTTCTGTGGCCGTTTGCGGTCAGGTACGCTGCGCACCAGATCAACCTCCACCCCAGGGTCTCTCGACCGGAGACCTCCCCAGCCCTGCTGTGGACGGGGAAGGTTGGCGATGCGTCGGCGTTCCGGGTCTGGGGATCTCGGGCGTTTGTTCGCGACCTGTCTGCGGACAAGCTGTCCCCTCGTGCTTCTCCCTGCGTCTTCCTGGGGTTCCCCCCCGACGCCCCTGGGTGGCAGTTTTACCACCCCACCTCTCGACGTGTTCTGTCCTCCCAGGACGTCACGTTCGACGAGTCGGTACCCTACTACCGCCTCTTCCCCTACCGCACTCCGTCCCTCCCCCCACCCCCGCTCTTCTTGGTACCGAGGTCCCCCCCCGGTAGTCCCCCCTCCCCCCTCAGGGTCCTGCCCCTTCAGGTGTGTCCCAGGTAGACGCGGTCGAGCCTGTCGAGGTCACTGGTGACTCTGGTGCTGCTGCGGGAGCTGAGCCTGGGGGTGCGGAGTCTGGGGGTGCTGAGCCTGGAGGTGCCGAGTCTGGGGGTGCTGAGCCTGGGGGTGCCTGAGCCTGGGGGTGCTGTGCCTGGGGGTGCTGAGTCTGGAGGTGCCGAGTCTGGGGGTGCTGTGCCTGGGGGTGCTGAGACTGGGGGTGCTGAGCCTGGGGGTGCTGAGCCTGGGGGTGCCGTGCCTGGGGGTGCTGTGTCTAGGGGTGCTGAGCCTGGAGGTGCTGTGCCTGGGGGTGCTTCGTCTCGCCGGGAGCCACTCTCCCCACAGGAGCTGCGTGAGTGGTTTGCCGGGCGCTGGAGGCGTGCTGCTGGTGCTGGTGGTTCTTCGGCTGCAGAGGGTACTGCTGCTGCGCGCCCCGCCGGCGCTCGTACTGTGGGTGCTGGAGCTGCTGAGTCTGAGAGTTCTCCTGGAGCTGGTCCTGCTGAGGGTGTTGGCGCTGAGCCTGCCGTTGGCGGCCCGACTGACAGTGCTCCTGGTGCTGCGGCTGGAGGTTCTGGAGCTTCTGGTGGTGCTGCTGGAGGTGCTGCTGGAGTGGGTGCTCCTGCCGGGGCTGCTGGTGCTGTTCCTGCTGTTTCTAGCGTCGCCGCGCGGCCCCGACCGTACTTCGTTCCGCTCCTGCAGCAGGTTCTTGGTCTTACACCTCCTCCTCCTCCCTTAGAGGGTCCGCAGCCTGTCCGGTCACAGCCACAGCTACAGCCTGCCTCCCCTTTGCCTGCTCCTTCTCCCTACGCTGGTCCGACTGGAGGTCTTACTGAGCGTCGTGAGCCTGCGTCTCGTCCTGTGTCGCCTGTTCGTACTGAGCGCGCTAGTGGTCGCGGGTCGCGTCAGCGTCCTCCTCCTGTCCCTGGCACGCACCGGATGTCATCTGCGTCCGTCCACTGCTCCTCTGCGTGCCCCTTTGCCTTCTCCTCCTGCTTCCTCTCTTCCTGCTCTTGCCGACCCGGAGTCGGACGCTCTTCGTGCTGCCAGTCCTACTGTCACGCGTCTCCTGGCTACTGCTGTCACTGACCCCTCCTTCGAGTCGTCTGCTGCGTCTGCCCTTGTCACTGAGCTTGTCGACTTTGCTGCGCGCTGTCGTCTAGACTACGCTGCTCGTCTTGTCACTGAGTCTGAGTCCGCCTGTCCTCCGTCCGTCGGGGGTGAGTGTGCCCTTGGCACGGACGTCCTTGAGGACAGGCAGGAGGAGTTCCAGTGTCTGGCCGCCGCTTCACCTCGTCTCGCGTCTGTACTGCTAGCCCCTGAGGGAGACCCGGATGCACCAGACATCCCGACTCCGCGCTCTTACGCGGAGGCGATAGAGGGTCCCTACTCCTCTCAGTGGCAGGCAGCTATGGATGCAGAGATGGCTTCCTGGAAGTCCACAGGCACCTACGTTGACGCTGTTCCCCCTCCTGGGGCGAACATCGTCAGTGGCATGTGGATTTTCAGGGTGAAGCGGCCGCCGGGTTCTCCGCCTGTCTTCAAGGCGCGTTACGTGGCTCGTGGCTTCAGTCAGCGGCAGGGGGTTGACTACTTTCAGACCTTCTCCCCCACCCCGAAGATGACCACTCTTCGGGTTCTGCTACACGTTGCTGCTCACCGTGACTACGAGCTGCACTCTCTCGACTTCAGCACAGCTTTCTTGCAGGGCAGCCTGCACGAGGAGATCTGGCTGCGTCGCCCACCTGGCTTCACTGGGTCTTTCCCTCCTGGTACCCAGTGGAGTCTCCGGCGTCCAGTCTACGGTCTCCGCCAGGCGCCACGTGAGTGGCACGACACACTGAGGACTACGCTCGCGGCACTTGGGTTTGCTCCTTCCACTGCCGACCCGTCGCTGTTTCTGCGCACCGACACCTCTCTGCCGCCGTTCTACATCCTCGTGTACGTCGACGACTTGGTCTTTGCCACAGCTGACACTGCTGGACTCGCCTACGTGAAGTCCGAGCTGCAGAAGAGACACACGTGCACTGACCTGGGTGAACTGCGCAGCTACCTTGGCTTGCAGATCACCCGGGACAGAGCACGCCGCACCATTACCCTGACTCAGTCACACATGGTGCAGCAGGTCCTTCAGCGCTTCGGCTTCACGTACTCCTCGCCTCAGGCCACTCCTCTGCCTACTCGCCACTCGCTCTCAGCTCTGCCTTCGGATGAGTCCGTAGAGTCGAGTGGCCCGTTTGCAGAGCTTGTTGGCTGCCTCATGTACCTGATGACCTGCACACGACCTGACCTCGCATACCCTCTTAGCATTCTCGCACGCTTTGTTGCTCCTGGGAGACACCGACCAGAGCACATGGCTGCAGCGAAGAGGGTGTTGCGCTACTTGTGCAGTACGTCGGGCATGGGGCTAGTGCTTGGAGGGCGCAGTCCAGTGGTCCTCACTGGGCACGCAGACGCTTCTTGGGCTGACGACCAGGCTACGCAGCGGTCGTCACAGGGTTACACCTTCAGCCTTGGTTCCGGCTCTGTCTCGTGGCGGGCTACCCGCTCGTCTTCTGTTCTCGGCTCCAGTTGTGAGGCTGAGATCTACGCTGGGGCTATGGCTGCACAGGAGTTACGCTGGCTCACCTACCTGCTGACCGACCTTGGAGAGCAGCCTCGTTCTCCTCCAGTCCTGTACGTAGACAACAAGGCCATGCTGGCCTTGTGTCGAGAGCAGCGACTGGAGCACAGAACGAAGCACATTGCTCTTCGCTACTTTCTTGCTCGTGAGCTACAGCAGCGTGGACAGCTGCGACTTGCGTACGTGGCCTCTGAGGCCAACACTGCTGATGTCTTCACCAAGGCACTTGCGCCTTGTGATCATCAGCGTTGCTGCACGCAGTTGGGTCTTGTGCCTGTCTTGCCTCACTTGCTCTCCTCTTGACCTTGCTTGTACTTTCGCATATATATACTCTTGTTCTTGTATATCTCTATATATGATCTTGCATGTGAACTGGCCTTGTGGCCTTTGAACTTGTGCTCGGAATGCGTGGTGACTTTGTGATCCACCCTGAGCTTTGCTTTGCTTTGCTTGACTGGTCTTGTGACCCCTTGTTCTCCCCCACTTTGCCTATGGGGGTGTGTCAGAACTTATAGCTTACTTGTTTCTGTAGGCTATAGTGGGGTATCCCATAGGGGGTACAACCCAATTAGGGTTTCCTATTTGTACTCACTTCGTT